ACATTAACTTATGGGGTGGAGGATCATCTCAGCACAACTTCACAACCATCCTGCAAGATGGTTTAACACTGGAGGGAAAAAAAGCAGCTGGCCAAAGGTCACTTAAGGAGCTTCCCAGCTGGATAGTGATTCAAAGCTAGGGCTTCTCACTCCAACTCCAAATGCAATTTGCAGAGGCCACACTTTCAAAGCGGTGAAAAGCATATGAAGGCAGCATGTTTTAAAATAAATTTTGGTTGCTGTGGTCCAAAAGAACCCATTTTTCCAAGCTCAAGTTAAATGCTCCTGGTCCAAGCCTTCAACTCTCCCTGACTAATGATGTGAATTATGTTTATATGGTTTTTTTCCTTTTCCTTTAAAGCCAGGACCATCTACAGTTGTGCTTCACTAGACTATTGCTTCGCATAACAATGAATTTGCTTTATGATGAGTTTTTCGGAGCGATCTTGCGCTTCGTATAACAATGTTTCCTATGGGCGATTTTCGCTTTACGATGTTAGGGATCTTGCCTCACAAGACAGTTAAATTTTAGGTCCCTGTTTTTCGCTTTACAATGTTTTGACAGCTTGGTCTTGCTTCGCTAGATGGGTCTTTTAATGGTCGCTGTTTCGTTAGAAAGCTGTCTTTGCTTGAGAAACGCATTTCGCTTAACGATGTTTCCTATGGCGATTTCCGCTTTACGATGACAATCCGTTCCCATTGGAACGAATTATCAGGTTTTCAATGCATTTCAATGGGAAAATGTGTGTTCGCAAGATGATGTTTTCGCTTAATAGCGATTTTCGCGGAACGAATTAACATCGTCTTGCGAGGCACCACTGTATTTCTTTCTCCCCACCCCTCACTCCAGATCAGTTCTAGTTGGTGAAGAAATTCAGCCCTGCCGCAGAAAGTGCCCCTTTTATATATGTGTGGCTAGTGTCAACTATGATCCAGAATCCCAGCAAGAAAAACCCACAAGGAAGAATTTTAAAATTCATTCAAAAGAGCATAAGAGCTCTTAAATAGCACCAGGAATGTTTCTCAAATTGTTAGGGATTGACCTGCCTGAAAAATGTCAAGTGCTCATCTTTGAAAATAATCAGCTTTGTCCATGTATGCCAGCCCTATGTGCTGTAACACAATTCCCTTGGAATCAGTCTCTTTGAATTTCCGCATGTAAATTAATACACTCATTCTACCTTATGCCCCCTCCCCCGTGAGACCAAGCAATCTGTTGCAAAACATTGCCTAAAGGCGTATCACGTTGCAAATTCTTCTGGAGCAAGGCAGTCATCACGGTCATCTGCCCTAGACAGAACACCTCAGACTATGAGTAAAGCTGACTCAAAAATCAGACAACTGGGCAAAAGGCAGGAAGAGAGAGAAAGAAAGCATATGTTTAAGCTTGTCTTCACCTAGCAGTCACACGCTAGCTAAGCAGCTTTATTCCCATTTTCAGGGAAAACACACACACATGGATTCACCAGACGTGCATTTATCAGATATGCTGTCACCTTCTGGTCAAGCCTTCTCCTTGATGTGCTAGTGATACATGTGCAGGACAAAAAATGTGCAATTGAATAGGTGCATGCCTGAAGTGGTATAGCTCTGAAAGGACCACATCACACAAGATCAGAGAAAGCACTGGCCCAAATGTCCTAGACATTCAGAAGCATTAATAGAAATTGATCAAAAAGCTTTCTGTTAGTGGTCACAGAATCATAAGAGTTGGAAGGGGCCGATAAGGCCATTTAATGAAACCCTCTGCTCAAGGCAGGAATCCAAATCAAAGCAGATCTGACAGAGGGTGGTCAGATCTGCTCTTGAATTTTCTCTTGAATGACTCCAGCACTGGAGTGCTCACCATCTCCCGAGGTAATTGATTCCATTGTCATACTGTTCTAACATTTGGAAAGTTTTTTCCGGATATTCAGCCTAAATCTGGCTTCCTATAGCTTGAGCTCATTATTACATGCCCTGCACTCTGGGATGAACAAGAACAGATCCTGTCCCTCCTCTGTAGAACTGCCATTCAAGTATTCAAAAAGTGCTATCACATCTTGCCTCAATCTTTTTTTTCCCTCAAGGCTAAGTTCTTTCAGTTTTTTCTCACAGGGCTTGGTTTCCAGCCCCTGATCATCCCTGTTGCCCTTTTCTGAACTCGCTCCAGTTTACTGGCATCCTTCTTAAAGTGTGCTGTCCAGAACTGGACACAGGACTCTAGATGAGGCCTAAGCAGTGCTGAGTAGAGGAGGACTAGTACCTCACAGAGTTTGGAAACTATATTTATCTGTGTATTCTTGAAGGCTTTCACGGCCGGGATATAATGGTTGTTGTGGGTTTTTCAGGCTCTTTCGCCGTGTTCTGAAGGTTGTTCTTCCTAACGTTTCCCCAGTCTCTGTGGCTGGCATCTTCAGAGGACAGCACTCAAGAGGACAGATGTTTATCTGTCACTCTGAAGAGGAGGCAACAGGTTCTACTCTGCCAGCTGACAAACGGATGGGTCACTTTACTTATCCATATTCTGAGTATATATGCTTATGGTATTGTAAGAGTAGTCATAGGTCTTTAGAAGAAATTGCCAGAATGTTTTCCAGGATATTTTTCTTCCCACTCAACCATGAGAACTAGAAACTTAAAAACCAAACAAACATGAACATTTTTCAGAGTTCTGCCTCAGCTATTTGGTTCTATGTTAGCTGCCATAATCCAAATTGTAGTTTCCTAGTTCTTGTGTTAACGATGTCCTCATTCAGGTTTAAGAGGCCATTCTCCAACATACACCAACCATGCTTGCAAAGTGCCAGAACTCTATAATTACAAGTCTTTCCACAATTGCTGAAGCCAGCACAGTAGTGCCACAATTGTTGCACGAGCCAACATGGGGTTTTGGCAACATATGCATTTGTCCCTCTCTCTGGCTCTCCTCAGAAGAGATGACAGCCTTCAGTAAGAAAATTCCATGTATACTGAAGTCTTTCAGGAGCAAAATGCAGCTCAGCTGTTTATGTGGTGTTTTGTGATGTGAGCCATTATCCACCAGGGACTTGGCCGATAAGATCAATTGATTTAAAACAGCATGCTTTTATTTGAGCTCTAGTGGCTGGCTGAAACACGTTTTCCTCACTGCCAAACCACCAGCCAGTTTGAATTAGGGAGTTCTGAACTTATAGCTAACACGCAATTTCTGAGGCTCCAGGAAATAGAGAAATGGTTGGAGAAAAACACACAGTTATTAGTTCCTAAATGCTGCAGCCTTTGTATGTTTTAATGTCAGTGGGAAGAAAATAAAAAGTATGGTAACGGCTTCAACAAAGAAGCAGTCAAAGTAACATGGACATTTAACTTGTTTTTGTGTTCTATTTCATGGTGCATTATTTTTTTTAAAAAAAAATCCTTTAGTTGTCTTCCTTATTGAATGTGTACTGTTAGTGTTCTGTAAACTGTTTTGAGGATTCTTTTGGGTGGAAAAACTAGTTTGGAGATTTAAATGCAGAGAAAGAAATTAATTCCATGTAATTTAAGGTAGAATAATTCTGGACTTTTAGATAGGAGAATTCAAAATAACTATCCTTCTCCAAATAGCTATAGTCTGAAGTGGTACAGTCCAGAAACTTACCACCTGAGATCACTGGCCACAGGATAACTCCCCTTTTGCTTGTCTTTTGATAAAATCCTCAAGCCTGAAATTGTGTGTGTGTTTAATATTAAAGTAAACCAGCCCTAATCAATAAGCAAGGGCTATAAACTTGGCTTGCTTGAGCAAACCATAGTTAATATTAACTATAGCCTAGGACTTTTATGACATGCTAAACTGTGGTTCACTCCAACTGGAAATAACAAGAGAGGCTTGCTGTGAAGTTTCATTATATTAAACAATGGCTTGCTTTGACAGCAGAGTGTGACATATTAGCACATATTTAGGATTTGTGGGTGTATGTGTTTACTCTGTTGCTGCCAAGCAGATGGGGGGGGGGAAGAAATATATATTTCCCCTTGCTACTCTAATTACTATAATGTCAGCTGTGTTTTACTGAAGCCAATCATTTATCAAAATTTTGAAGACTATATGCATAAAACCAACCCTCTATAAGGACTTTTAAAAAAATACTGTGATAAAACTCCAAAGGGGGTACCCATATTAACCTGTCATACTAACCAAACATATAAAAAGAGTCATACAGAATGCCACAATAAGGTTGCAATCCTAGATATATAGGATTAGGAGAAGACCCACTGAATTCAACCAACTAACAAGTTTTCACATGGAAGCTTTACTCTTTGAAGGGTCACAAGACTCTCCCAGGTGCCTTTAAAAAAAATCAAATCATCCAAGAAATATTTTGTCCCAGCTAGAATTCTGGAGGCTTTAAGACCACCAGCCCTCTCAGGAGTTTGATATGACTGGGTGTTGGGAAACAAGCCAACTTGCTATTATGGATTATGAAGCCGGCTTGTTTGAACAAACCATGGTTAATCGGAGTTTAAAGCAGAGATGGGTAGACCTGAGGTTTTGGTTTTCCCCGCAGAAATGAGAGGTCTTACATGCAAAACAGGTGCAAGAGGCTTCCTTCAACTTAGAAGAATTCTAAGCCTGGAAATGTGAGCACCAGGACTGGATGGAGCTTATAGTGCATTCCTCATATTATCAAGAGTTCTTCATTTCAGCAGTAGAATTTGAACTGCACATATAATTTTGTGGCTAGATACTTGAGAGTTAAAAATTCTAGCGGATCTCCTGCAAATCACTAAGAGACACAGCAGTACATACCAATCTTCTTCCCAACCCTGGTTGCAAGAAATATAAGATGGAGACCCGTTTGCATATTTAGCTTTGTTTTCATTAGTCTATGGATTTCCTGAAAGATGTATCTATACTTAATGCTCCACTGGGCTAAACCGTCCTGTTAAACTCACCCGCACAACATAGTTAAACCGTCTGGAGTCCAGAATGGCATTTGAGAAATCCAATCTGTTGAAAGCTTCTCCCAGGGTGCAGTAGCCATGGCGCTGAAATGGGATAAAGGAACAAAACATGGAATTCATCCACATGCAGAACTGAGAAAACTATTATGTTACATACAGTCCACAGTTAAAAGAAGAGATTCCTTAATTGTTTTTTAAAAAGTCATTATTACAACAGGAACTTTTCACACTTACTATAGTTTGCAATAAAGGAACCAAATACCAGAAGCCATAAAGCTGGTAATAAAGGAACTCAATAAAGGAAAATATACATTTACATTTAATTCTATCTGCTATATGCTTGATATAGGTCCTATTTAATATCTGTAAAAATACAGTGTCTACCAAACTTGGAAGAAACCCAGACCGACTTTCAACAGGAACAGATCCAGAGGTGGGGAGCAGATAATCCCCTCTTAAAATGACATATTCTTTAGGCAATACTCTGTCAGACTGTAAGGGGAGAAACTGCACAATGAACAGTTCCTTCACCTTCAAGAAAAATATCCTTCACACAGACGGCTAACGTGTCAGAAAAAATACTAAGTGAAATTGCAACCCTTAGAAAATGTACATGGACAAAAGAAGAATTTAAGCCCTTTTTTCTTACTAACAGTCTGGAATGGTACACTCCTAAGAGGACCTTGTAATTCTATTACATGCATAATTCAGATGGTAAGCATGGAGAAATCAAGCTAACTTGAAATTTACCTGTGAAAGCCTGCACCTCCAATAGAACACATAGTAATGTTAGTCACTGCATAGCAATAACTTTACAGAGTTAGTTCGACTACCCTGTTTAAAAATAAGGCATACTCACTTCTTTTGTGCTTCCCTTGTGCACGTAAATCCACTTTTCTTGATGAACATCTGTTTAAACAAAAACAATTTTTATTCATTTAGACCATATACATTCTAATCACATCACGATTTGCTTAGTTCTGGTAGCTTTCTTCTGGATGACAGCTGGAATTTAACAGCTGACTTTTGCTTCCAAATTCTCCAAAATTGCTCCTTCTTTATTCGCATCAGAGCGTTGAACAATTTAAAATTATGGATGTATATCAAATGCAGGTAAAATTAAAGCAAATTAAAATGTTGAGATAATTAGACTGTTCTTCAAAACGGCAGCGGTATAATAGGAATTTTTGACCCAACTCCGGGAGGCAGTGGAAGACGAGAGGGCCTGGCGTGCTCTGATCCATGGGGTCACGAAGAGTTGGACATGACTTAACAACTAACCAACAACAAATAACTGGAATTATAATTTATATTTCAGTTTGACTTAACGACTAAACAACAACAAATAACAGGAATTATAATTTATATTTCAGTGGAGGCTGCTGTAATTGTGTTACTATTTCAATACCGTAGTAACTATTGAAACCTAAGAAAACAATACTTGTCAGAGCCTAAGAGATACAGATGAATTTTAAAAATTGATAACTAGATTTGAGGTAACTATCTGATTTGAAGCAGAGAGGAGCTACTACCAAGCTTCTAGCACCAGTATGTCAAAGACAACATTAAGTGCATGTAGAAAAATAAATGCCATCTGTAGGTAAGGATTTATGGGTTGTTGTTTTCATCACTATAAAACAGCCTGTTAATCTTTAACTTTATCTTCATTGAACACTAGAAATTAGTTCTTCAGAGAAAGATAATGGGGGAAAGTAACAGTGAGGTTGGACTAACTCCTTGTGTACCTTCTAAGTCTATAATTCTACGATTTTATGATTCTCCAATTTAGATACTCTTGAAAACAATGTGAAACATTGATCGTGACTAAAGCACCACTCACTACTACTGGAACCAAGTTCATCTAACTTAACTAACCAACCAATCTAACTACAGATCCATCATTTTTACTTTAATTTTCTCCCCCACACACACAATTTTTCCAAACTAATCAAGCTTCTTTTCATGCTATACACTCTTTCTTTGGATTTAAAGGGCCTGGATCAGCCCCTTGAGGGGATTCATTTTAATTACTATACTTTCCCCTCCGTTTTTAGATGCTGGCAATTTTGAGCTTCCAGGGTATATTTTTAAAGAATCAAGTCTGGGCAAGAAAACTAACCAAAAAACCCCAAAGAGGCTGTAGGGATGCAGGCATGCGAGGGAGGGGCAAGGCCGGGAAGAGAAGAAATTGGAACCAGTTTACTTGGATGTACCACTGGGGTGGGGGGGAATATCCTTCCACTGCCAAACACAAACAACAAGAATTTGAACACAGCAAGCACAAGGCAAATGCTGTTATCCCAAACGTAAGGCTTCCCACTGCAGTGGACTCACATTCCCCGCACAAGGTCAAGGCAGTGGCCCAACAGCTCCCCAGAGACTTCTGGAAGAACTACAGAGGTCACTTAATTGTGTGAAAAGTGTGACCTCTCCAATCCAAACACAGTTGTTTATTGTTTTGTTATTTTATGCATTTCTCCTCTTACACTGAATCCTTGTTTTGCAGTTCAGCTGGTCCTTCTTTCTCTTCTTTGCGGCCACGTCACAGTTCATGCTGTTGAACATATTCTCCTTATTGTAGTCCTCTTTTCTGCAGTAACTGGGGATGACACAGAGAGGGGGGGAAATAATCTCTTTTTCAACTTGCATACCTCCCCCTTTAAGAGAGCATTTGAACACAACTGTCAACAGCTACATTTATACATGATGCAAAATTATAATAGGTGTCTGCTAGCTTCTGGGCCTGCTTGAAAGGTATGGGCCTACAGGACAGTAAAGAAGGTTCTCTCCTAACAAGGACCACTGACCCACCAGAAAACTCCTTTGGGGGCCAGGACTCCCTGTGTCCACCTCCATGAGACCAGTATGACATTGTACCAAGAGCCACATATAACCTAGAGATTCCACATCCGAAGTCCAACGTTTGAGTACACCTTCTCTCTTATGCACTTCCCACATGGAGGCGAGACCATCACAGGAAGTCTACAACAGGATTTAATCAGAAATGGCCGTTGCATTCAAGAATTCCCCAGAAGTACAGAGTCCAGACTCTCTTCCTTCCTCCTTTTATGCCTGCTTTTCTCTGCCAGTTTCAGTTGCTGGGTTGGAACCGCATGACATTTGTAGAACTTCGGTGCCACTGAAATCACTGGAGTAATTAAATATAAGTTAACTTAGTTTAATTTGCTGAGTTAATGTGGGTATCATTTCTTTTATGAGTTTGTTAAAATGTTTTGATGATGTTTCTTATCTGGGTTGGGTTTATACAGTTCAGTTTTATCCCCGTGGGCATAGTCTACTATGGAAAAATGATTAACACAATTTCATTTATGTTATTTATCTCTTTATGGCATTTGATGTCTTCCTTATCTCTGTTCCTTTGAGTAAGGTGTCCTTGGGGGGCCAAGGGTCTTATTGTTTCCTCAGCTCCTTATTTCTACCACTCCTTCTAGAAACATCTACAGCAGTGGTTCCTGGGTAGCCCAGGGTTTCTGGGAGTTGCAGTCCAAGAATGCCTGCACTTTTCCTCTCTTTGCTTCCATCCTCAAAACTCACTCTTTAAGCATGACATATGGATTATTCTCTTGACTTCTACTCCCAACAGTAACCAACTTTAAGTTCAAACAACATTTAATAATAAAAACCCTTGAACTGCAAGGGAGACCCTATCAAGTCTAGCCTGTATCATGGAGGCCCAGCGGGGAATTGAACTCCCATCCTTTGGCGCCGCAGCCAGAGACTTAAGCCACTGAGCTATCCAGCAGTTCATCTGTTGACATTCCTTTCTCCATACTTGTTGCCTTCTTTCCTCTGAGGACAGGGACTTATCTATTTTTGCCAAGACAACTTTGTTGGAGTCCACTGGTAGCACTACCTACGTTTTGGAAAAATCCAGTACAAAACAAAAAGAATCCAGTTTCCCAACAGCTAACTGACAGGAAATCAGATTCAATTCTATACTGGAAGAAAAGGTAAAGAATCTTTCATTTACAACAATGGCTTTCATAGACAGGACCCCAGATGTTCTTGAACTGACCGTTGGCTGTGCTAGCTAAGGCTTCTGGGAACAGATGTCCAAGAGCGTATGTAGGCCCAAGCTTGGGAAACCCTGGTCTAGCAGATCTGCAGGTGTGGGGCCCCTTCCAGGGGCCCAGCAGGCACTTCTCCCTGGCCTTTCCCTGTTACTAGAGCATCTGGAAGATGGAACGTTTATGGCTCAGAGACAGAGCAGACATTTGACACATTAAAAAGCTCCAGGGCAATTCCCAAGCATCTCTGAGCAGGCCCCGGGCTTGTTAAAGGGAGCCCTGGAGTGCTTCTGCCAGTCCGAATGAGTGACTCTGAGCTAGGCTTGTATGGACCACATAAGGTTCAGTTGCACAGCGCTTTCCACAGAGTCCCTGACCGTCTGGGACAGCAGTGGTAAGACAAGGAGGACCCATAGAACAAGCTCCACCCTAATCCCAACCATTACTGCAGTAAGATGTGAAATACGACAGTGGCACCTATATGTTTGCAGGAGTACTGGACGCAGGACATCACCACTCAAACTCAGTTTAATCAGTGACCAAGCAAATACATGCATACAGTGGTGCCTCACTTTATAATTGCCCTGCATTACGATGAAACCGCATTATGACGATCTTTTTGCGATCGCAATTACGATCACAAAACAATAGTCTGAATAGGGGTTTTTCGCTTTGCGATGATCGGTTCCCTGCTTCGGGAACCGATTTTTCGCAAAACAACGATTTTCAGACAGCTGATCGGCGGTTTCAAAATGGCCACCAGGTAAATAAAATGGCTCCCCACTGTTTTCTGGGACGGATTCCTCGCAAGACAGCCACTGAAAATGGCCACCCTATGGAGGATTTTCACTGGAGGGTGCGTTTCCAGCCCATTGGAATGCACTGAAGGGGTTTCAATGCGTTTCAATGGGCTCTTTATTTTCGCATTATGATGTTTTTGTTTTACAGCGATTTCGCTGGAACGAATTAACGTCGTAATGCGAGGCACCACTGTATGTCCCAATGTCTGGTTTCTTTTTCTTTTTCTAAAAAACATTTGCTTCAACCATGTTTAGATATTGGGAATGCACTGACACCTGTCCCAGGATGGAAAAAAGATAATGACCTGGTTTTTTTAAAATGCTAGTTACAAACAGAGAGGGCCATGGGGGGTTTCCTTTCCTTTCCTGCATCTTGCAGATGCAGGAAACTCTATTATCCAGGGAAGGATAATTCTTGGAAGAAGAGAGGACAGCAATGTTTCTGAGCTGCCCTGGGGAAAATTCAGAGAAGCAGGCAAACCACTTTATTTGCAATCGCACCCATAATTAAACACCAGTTGCACCACGAGGTCTCATGACCTCTGCCTAACACCCTTGCCCTTCCTTTGGCTGCCTCCTCTTATGTCACAGCTTCCTGCTTGTGACGCTCCTCTAGTTTATACAGCACACTTCTTCAGGCATGAACACACTCAGGTTTCATGCATCTGCAAATTGTTACTCACACTCGTTAGGAGGACTATAAATAACCCAATGTTTGGAGCATGGCTTGAACAGCTCAATTTACAAGGCTGAAGACAAGGGTGAGCAATACCGGAATCAGAACTGTTCTCAGCATGCAAATGCATGATGTTCTTGGGACGGTAACATTTCAGGTGGCTGCATAGCTCCTTATTAACCCATACCAAAACCCTCTGAGGTAGAAGGATATTGCTTTCCCTCTGGCATCTGTAACAAAATTCTGTCCAAAGCCATTGTTAGGAAACAGACTTTAGCTCAAGCTCAGCTTCAGAGAAGGTTCCCAGTGAGATTCTAGTTTTATATTAAATCTCATTGATGATTGACTTCAAGTAAGGAAAGAAGCAGAGTGACATGTTCCTCTCCAACGAACAACACAGCAGAGTTAAGACGTGCATTATCCAGCATTAAGAGCAATAATGTAATATAAAATAAGGAATATTCACTTTTAAGAAAAGCTAACTGGATATCATGTTTTTCAAATCTCAAAACTGGCAGATGGTGCTGCTGTTCAAAAGAGATGGAGCCAGTCCTGGGAAAACTTCCACAGCAGTCCTAGGAAAGCAGGCTATGTTTTAGACTGCTGAAGTTCTGAACCACTTGGACCAAAGATGGAATAGACAACACATCAGGCACAGCATCCAATTTATGGCTTCATCCAGCCGTAAATAATGCGGAGCTGACATTATGTTTCATGAACTGGTGAAATGCATAAGGTTCTCAGCCAAAGGACATGTACTCTGTAACAGTACACTGTAAACTTTAAAAAAATGGATATACTGATCATAACATTCGACAACTTGAAAACCTCAACCTTTTTTTAAAAGGTTCTAGTTCTTAGGGCTAAAATAAAAAGTCAAGAAATGCAGTGCAGAATGACATCTCAGAGAGCAAGTTGGCTGAAGTGAGGAACCACAACAGATACTTTATAGGAGTTTAATGCTTCTGTGGTTTCTTTGTCCTACTGACTGATAAGTGGAAGCAAATAAATTATGCAAATTCAGAAACTATACTTAAATATACTTATTTGCATAATTTATACTGGCCACATTGTTCAGCTTTTCTTCTGGCATATATTTAATTCAGGCTATAGCTGAATGTTTCCTGGAAGACAGAATCCTTCACCTGTTTTTCTATAGCTTTCAATGCTGATCTTTTGTATGCATCCAGGTACTCCTACATAAAAGCACCCCCTCTGTTCTAAATTATAATTCACATGCACATCAGCCAAATATATTTGTGAATTCTTACTCTGGACTAAAGCCAGTACTGATCTCCACAAATATAAGAGCATGAGCATACTAATTTTAGGGTATCTTAATACAATCACAGTCAAATACCACTTATAATTGATTAATCTATCTTGTAAGTATTGTTTCAAGGATATCTAAAGTACTGAATTAACAGTACCTAACATGCATGTATATTTATTATGTCTCTTGTCCTAATTTTAACTGTTTTTACTGCCCGTCAGACTAATTGAAACTGTTTTATCTTGCCATGGTCTTTGACTGGTGCAATAAATATTACATATAAAAGAATTCTTACTCCACACAACATTCCATCTTTGTCATTTTTGCGGCAAGAATTCTGGCAATGCTATTTGTGAGTGTCGCATACACACATTCCAGATTAAAGCTTGTTTATTTCTAGCCCTTTGCCTTGGCAGCTGTAAAAGAAGCCAAATTATCTGGTCAAATGAAAAAAAAACCAGAATACTGTATTGCTCACACTCCTGGTATAGTCTAGATGTTAACCAAAAGGTTCAGTCCAACAGGCCACCCTAACATGCATTATATTCAGCTAATCCTTCCATAAATGCCCAGATGGCACAGGAATGTCTAGAAATACACAGGAATATGCAGACGGATCCATGTTTGTGTTTTTAGCCATGGATCTGGTGTTGCAGCAATTGAGAACTGTGGAACAGAACAGCTGCTATATGAAACCTAAAGATACAGTACTTGAGTGTTATCAAATGAGGAATCTCCTCTCCTCTCCCCCATCCCATCTCCAAGCATTTTCTCAGAGCAAAAGCCATCTAGCTCCTTATCTTCAATAGAAACTGTATCTTT